ATTGAGTAACGTAACGGAATACGTTACAGAATACATTTTGGGGCATGTATTCTGTAATCTGTAATGGAATACATTTTAAAAGTAACCTTCCCAACACTGGCTGTTGTTCATAGTTTCCCACAGTCCTCACCTTAGAATTAAACTCATCTGGTTCTACCCTTCAACTTAGCCTTGTTCCTAGCTTCAGCACATGTAAATATTGTTGCCTTCACACTGTTATAAATCAAGTTTAACTGTGGAACTGAAGCTCTAGACTGCCAAACAAAGGCTCACAAATCTGGCCACAGAGCTACATCAACGAAGCCAAAAGAATGACCCTGTTCTCCAAAGACCCGTCCAAATTGTAAGCGCACTTCCAAGGGAAGAATAGGAAAATGTCAGACCCACCCAAAGCAGAAACTCTGGGACAAAGAAGCATTGTGCAACACGTTGGTGGACCTCGGAGAAGAGCACAGACATCTGCCAGAACAAGAATTAGTCCACATCACCAAGTCAGACATCCAGCAAAGCTGCTGGTAAATGAAGCAATACATCAGGACTCTAAGACCAGGCAGTACAAAGCTACAAGAGGCAGCTCACACAGCTGAAGACAGATGATAATGAGGAACGGATGTAGAGACTGCCATTGATGACCAAGACAGCAAAAAGGTTTGATTTTAAAAAGTGAGTCCTTAGAAGTCATAAGAATAACGTCACTTGTATTGCCATTGAGTTTGAGCTGATTGTTCTTTGTTTCGTTGAACAATATAGTTGTGTGTCGTCTGCATAAAAACACGAAAACAATGGAAGATGTTTCCTAGAGGAAAGAGATAAACTATACATAACAGAAGTCACCCAACTGATACCTGACATTATGTGACCGAGGCCGATGTTGAAGTTATTGGAATCTAGATTTTAAGAATGACGGTGACAGAGGCTGTTTTGAGAGATATAAGAAAGGACCAGTGAAAAGAGGTGGCCATGGTAGTCATGATCAGTGCCAGCGTAGGAAGACAGTCTTTGATCAAGGAAGTTGGAAGGATGAACATCAGGATGAATATCAGCTCTTTTTCAAATCCAAAATCAATTTTAAGTCCTGCTCCTCACATACAAGGTCTTAAATAATCAGGCCCCATCTTATCTTAATGACCTTGTAGTACCATATCACCCTATTAGAGCACTTCGCTCTCGCTCTGCAGGCCTAGTTGTTGTTCCTAGAGTATTTAAAAGTAGAATGGGAGGCAGAGCCTTCAGTTTTCAGGCCCCTCTTCTGTGGAACCAGCTTCCAGTTTGGATTCGGGAGACAGACACTATCTCTACTTTCAAGATTAGGCTTCAAACTTTCCTTTTTGCTAAAGCATATAGTTAGGGCTGGACCAGGTGACCCTGAATCCTCCCTTAGTTATGCTGCAATAGATGTAGGCTGCCGGGGGATTCCCATGATGCATTGAGTTTTTCCTTTCCAGTCACCTTTCTCACTCACTATGTATTAACAGACCTCTCTGCATTGAATCATATCTGTTATTAACCTCTGTCTCTCTTCCACAGCATGTCTTTATCCTGTCTTCCTTCTCTCACCCCAACCAATCACAGCAGATGGCCCCGCCCCTCCCTGAGCCTGGTTCTGCCGGAGGTTTCTTCCTGTTAAAAGGGAGTTTTTCCTTCCCACTGTCGCCAAAGTGCTGCTCATAGGGGGTCATATGATTGTTGGGTTTTTCTCTGTATCTATGAAGCGCCTTGAGGTGAATTTTATTGTAATTTGGCGCATATATAAATAAAATTGTGTGGAGTCTGCATGTTCTCCCCATGTTTGCGTGGGTTCTCTCTGGGGACTCGGGCTTCCTCCCACCGTCCAAAGACATGCAACCTGCAATTAGTGGGGTTAGGTTAATGTCTGATTCTAGAGTGTCCATAGAGGTGAATCTGAGTGAAATGTTGTCCATCTTTCTGTGGTAGTCCTGTAACAGACTGGCAACCTGTCCAGGGTGTACCCTGCCTCTCACCCAATGGTAGCTGGGATAGGCCCTGCCCCCCTGTAACCCTGATAAGGATAAGTAGAAGAAAATGGTTTGATATGATCTATCAGTAATTCTTTTAAGGTATAATACTTTAACATTCATTGTCTTTTACTATTAGGTTAGACTGTTGCTGTTCCCTGTGGTCCAAGAGAAATCAGTCTCCATCATATCTCAGTCTCATATTATCCCAAACAGGCTTTTATTCATAGAGGCTTTCTGTGGTGATAATAAAAGTCCAACCTGATTATATTCTGACCTGTGTTAAGAAATTGATGATTAACTATCAGTAACATTATGAGACTTATTTTTCTGTGTTTACCACTGACAGCATACTTAATATAATTTCTCATATTCAGACTCATGTGTAACAATGGAGACACATTTCTTATCTGTTCAGTCCTGTAACAGTCTCACACACACAGGTCGGTCAAAGACATTTTCATTATTCAAACCACTGTGACAGAGGTGTGGCTCCATTGCAGAGGGGGGTGCGCTGAGGGGGCAGTGCCAGGGTGGCTGCGAGGACAGCTGCTCCCACTCGGTCAGGTATGCTCTCCCTGCTTTAGTGATGCCGGGACCTGAAGAGAGGAGGAGTGCAGGAGGTGTCAGCTGGAAAGCTGCTGAACCAAAAGTTATTGATCACACGTTTAAACAAACGCTATAAATTTTAAAAAGAAACTTTGCTGCTCCTGTATTTCATCTGGGGACCATACTGGTTCACAACTACATCGCATTCATCTTGTTAATTAGAC